CTACTGCTGCTGCTGCCACCCTCGTCTGCTGTGGAGGAGGCCCTGCCTGTGGATGTTTTACACGCCGTGTCTATACGCACCCGAGTAGGTGACAGCGATGAATTGTCGAACTCGTCAGACCTGTCGTGCGTTGCGGACCGGTATCGCGTCACGGTATCGTCATCGTCTGCTTCATCGAGCGCAAGTCGCAAGCTCGGTGCGGTTCGGTCTCAGGGAATGCGAGCAGCTTTTGGAGGCCGCTGACAAGGCGAAGCTGGCAGGAAACTTTCAGCGTCGTCAGCTGCCAGAGTTTGTTTGGCCAGAACCGTCGGCCTTCAATCCACATCCCGGCAGCTCACAGCGCGTGATGTTCAACGCATGCCGCTCGCAGCCCGATCGCCGTCCGACTATAACACGCTTCGCTTACACAATCATTCTTATCAGAGCAATGCAAAATGAAAACAACACTTTTCCTCCGTACTCAGAAAATGTGATTACGTTAGCATCGTCCATAGTTGTTGTCTCAGCTCCAGAACGGAATTGTAATCAAGCAGAGGCCGACAGCGGCAGGCGGGCGGGCGGGCGGGGTTGGGGGTCGCAATTCCTGGAGTTGGGAGACGCTGATCCGTGCCACCTGCGCTGTAGCTGGCGCGTTGACACCGACTGAGCCGCGTGGCTCGCAGCCACGCGGCTCACCCGAATCGCTCGCCAAACCGCACAGATTTGCTGGTGACGTCACCGAAGTAACTCAAACTCCTTTTGATCCGCAAAAAAAAAGGTGGCATGAAGAACGATTTCCTGGAACCAATTTTTCAAGCTCACAACCCCGAGCGCCTGAGAAAGTGCCCGCGCGTCGACGCATCACCGAACCGACGGCGGCCCCAGCAGCGGCAGCGGCGGCACGGGCCGCCGTCGGCCGGCTCCGCTGGCGGCACGGGGATCTGGGGGGGGGGGGGTGCACGGGGAGTGGGGAATGCTTTAGAAACAGCTTGTACCTGAGCACAACCATTTGCAGAATTGCATTAGTGCCTTCCTAATATTCATCCAATTCACTTAGCGTTCAAGCGGAGTACATTTCACGTTAAAATTCGTCATTGCATTACTTCAGGTTTTGTTACTGTGCCGCAAAATGCCGTTGTGGGCCAGTATGCAGACGTTGCTTTGGCCGTGCGTGAGGGAGAGAGAGAGAGAGGGGGGGAGGATCGCAACGAGTAAACGATGGACGCCTGCACGCTGGACACAAACTCTCCGTTGATTGTGGACGCAGTAGAGGAGAGGAAGAGTGCCGATCGGTGCGCGCGTATTGACATGCGACTTCAAGCCAAGGCCCTTGGATGAATGGGTGAATGAACAATGATTCCTTCTCTTGGCAATCGCAGAGCGAGCATTCTCAGAGGACCAGCCAACCAACAATGCCGACCATACACACGGCCGGAGCTGCCAATGCTTCAGAACACACACACACAAGAGGGCCCCATATTTAAAATACTTTTTTTCCCACGGCCCATGACTAGAATGTAAAATTCCCAGTTTTGCGATCCCTCCAAAAAATGCACAATATATTATTATATTGAAACAATATAAAACACCGGAAGTACAAAACATCAGTGACGATCCATTCACTGTTGGATGAGCCTCCAAAAGCTATCACCTCCTCTCATGGCCTCGATATACGACAATGCATCGAGCTTCTGCAAACCATCCACACGGTGGAATTCTCAGGACCCGTTGCCTTCTTTGGCTGCCTCTAGTCGCACCTCCGATTAGCACGGTTGGCTACGTACGGTGCGAAAGAAATTCATCGCAGGTACACAGCCTCGCCCACCGCCCGTCATCTCCTCCAGTCCGAGCCCACTCACCTCGACGGCCAATCAGCAGCCCCTAACTCGCACGTGTTCCTCCTTACGCGCTCTCGGCGTAATTCAAAACATCTGCACGTCTATAAAATACAACGCAAACGACCGAGTTGGGGGGTTATTACAAGCACAGGTCAAAAATACATCACCATTATCATTAGCGCCGCCACCGTGATGACCGAATCATGCCCGGGCGAGTAAACCTCGGAACATCTGTGCGTTTGTGGGCCGTGTCCAAAACGGGTTCGTGGCAGGATTCGATATCTGTGGATTGATGCGGTGGGCTTGGTGATCCCAACGCACTGCTCACGTGAGTGCACTGCGATGGGAATTATACGCAGTCAGTATATTTCATGGGACCTCCTTTGCCAGTACCAAAATATGAGAAGAGGTTTTCCCCTTTTTTTCTGGCAACAAAACAGCTGTGTTAAGCCTTTTGGTGTCCTCTGGTCTGACACCGCTTGAGACGAGGCTCAAAAGAAAGCTATCTCTGCTGTGGACCAATCAGTTTCAAAGACAATGCATCATCATATTATCAGGGTATGTTTTTTGTTTGCATTCTGACCACAAGTATTGTGGTTAATGCAGACATGATTCCTTGTAAAAAGTTTCAGTTTGGTGTTTTAACAACTTAACACAGCTGTTTTGTTGCCAGAAAAAAGGGGAAAACCTATTCTCAGTAAGTATATTGTAAGTGTAAAGTGTGTGGAGTGGGAGGGGGGGGGGCGTGAGGAACGTCCTCGTTGTCAGGATACTGCGATGTTATTTGAAAGAGAAGTGGGCACGCGTGCCGGTGTCGCGGTCTAAATTCGAAAATTACCCGCAAATGACGCAACTTGGGTAAAGCCGCAAAGTTAACGTGGCACGCTCTCCCGCGGAAGGAGCACGGACTCCGCTCGTCCGCTGAATGGAGCACTTCACCAGAGCCCTTCGACACTTGAAGCAAGGCGCAAATACCACACGCACATACTCCACATTGGAGTTGCATTCGTCTTTTCCTGCTTTTGGTCAATCACGTATAAGTGCAAATGGTGGTTCAAGATGCAAATACGCTTGTTTTAAATATTTTTCTGAATGACATTTTAATGATGATTGGGTAGCTGTAATCGTTGCCACGTGTCCTAGGTGGTGCCTTAAGTGGTGTCGATGAGGATGATCCACTGGACCATTACTGTGACCAAAGACGCGGAGCTTTGATCTACCAAATTCAGCGCAGATTCCACAATCTTGCAATGGATATTTTGCACTTTTATGAGCGTCTGGGCTGAGACCATCAAACTCGCTCCACATCGGGCTCTGATTACACCTTGGATGGTAGCCCAGGGATTAAACCCAGATCTACTCTGTGCAAAATCGGTGCCCTCACTTGGACATCAGCATCCACTGGTCTAAGATCACCAGACCACTTCATGAAATAACTCAGTGTGGGAACCCTTCCTTAAATGGTTTTGGGAAAAATGTTAAACAATTTAACATGGTTTCAGGTTTGTTTTATTTGAAGTGTTATTTATTACATTGAAAAATCGACAGGATAAATCTAAATTTACACTGGTATGTACTTTATATTTACAATGCTAACATTTCATATGATATTAATAATTTAAACCTGCAACGTACGCATAATTAACTCGCTCTGGAAGGGAGAATGCAACTCTGAGGTGCGAATAACGACTCAGTATTGGAATGAACCTCCATCTCCCAACAGAGCCCATACACAGTGATCATAGTTACTCTGTGGAGAGAGGCAGACTGACCTTCACCTGTTATAGGGAAGACTGTACTTTCTAAAGTAGAACTCTGTCAATAACAAGGGTTCGCGTTATGATTCAGTTTGAGCTTCACCAAGGATCGTCATCATACATCTTTATTTGAACGTTTTTTTCTTCTGGAATTTCACCCATGTCTGTAGAAAATCTAGCCGAGTCCAGGGTTATCATGAACCTTCCCTCCATTTGGAGAATGGATTCCACTTTTGGTGCCACCTATCTGGGTCTGACCCGGACAGACCTGGAATTGGGCGTTTGTGTTTGGGTGGCAGAAATGCACTTGTGCCGAGATCTGGTACTCGTATCACTGTGTCGAACTTTATTGCAGTAGACTGCACCGTTTTCATAATAGACCTAGGCCGCCTGAGACATAATACATCTGGGTTTGGGCCGTGGGAAAGATGACGACCCTAATTCCACACTGACCCGCATTGAGAAATTGACAATAAGTGGGTGAGAGAGTCTACGATGCTCACAGGACAGGGCTGAATAAAAGAGGAATTTGAACGTTTGGGATTCTTCAAAACGCCTCTAAAGGCTACTGCGAGGCTTCGGCAAAGTGCTAAGCTGTTCATCGTGTGGCGCGATGGCTAGGCACGCAGCCGTGTATGCACACATACGTAAACATTTATGTGTGTCTGGCCGAATGAGACACGATTGGACAGCTCTGTCCTTGGACGATGATTGAACCATTGTGCCCTGCCACCCGACTCTGAAAGCGGGTGGCAGGGCAGAATGATTTTAAAATCGGGTGGCGTTCTTCCAAAGTGAATGTGGGCATCACCCCATTCTTCCTGGCAAATTGGCAGTGCAATAGCTGTACAAAACAGATGATTGGATCAGACGGGCTTTTATGGAAATGTAATGCCGGCAGAACTTTCCACAAGGGTGGAAGCTGTTCTTTTAAGCTCTCGGGCATCAGGTATTATTGCAAGAGACGCAAAGGGTCTCGATGACTGTGGAAGACATCTCTTGCGCGTACGAGTACTTGTTGTGTGAATTCAGTGGAGTGACAGCGTTGTTCACAGCAACGTTTTGCGGGTTGGTGGAGGAGGCAGGGTTGGATGCGCGGTGACTGGCGTCGATGAGAGTCCCAGTCGAGGTTGACACGAAGAGAGAACGCTATCTGAACTGGTCCTGGCTACCATCACCACCGCGCCCACACTCTCCATGATCATTTGTCATCCATCTCCCGCACCTCCGATTAGAGCGGTTGGCTACATACGTTGCGAAATAAGCTAAACGTGCATACGTTTAAATAGTACGATACCTCTGTTCGCATTGTACAGTTTTTGTCGGCCTTTGAAAGTAGCAGTTATCTCGTGTTCTCGTCGACCTATTTAGCCGACCTGTTGATATGCTGCAGCTACGCTCATGGCTCTTTCTTCTTTCGTTCCAGGCCAAGCATCTGCTGAGGGCAGCACCACCATGGCATGCAGCGCTCTGCTGGGGCTGCTGCTGGTGCTGCTCGCTGCTCGCCGTGGCGCCGGTGAGTGCTCGCATCGCTCACCGTGCCGCTAGTGAGGCCTCTCGTTGACAAACAGCGACGTCGGGATGGCCCCGCCGGCCAGGGCCTTCATAGTTCAACAGCCACTCACGGCCAGCGAGTTTTTGGAACACGTTGGATTAGTGATTCCAGTCCTAGCCAAGATTGCATCAGTCGGCGGGCACGTGCCGATGTTAGCGGTGTTATTTAATTGCATTTTGAAAGGGATTTTTTTTTTAAGTTATCCTGGAACACGTGTAGTGTCTGCAAACTCAGAAACGGACACCTCGCTGGCCCTAGCAAGGGGCACAACAGCAGTCCGTCAAAATGCCACGTGGTGACCTCCCACCTGCATGACAGTGACAGCTCCATGGACAACTGAGGCAGCCCAAGGGGGGGAGACACAGCTACAACATTGCACACCACGTGATTCCTGCGGCCTAAAACAAACATTATGCATCGTGGAAGCAAATCCACGTTTTATCCAGGATCAAACATACTTACCATGAGATTATTTTTTTATGCAGAAATGCAGAGTCTTATCCAACTGAATTGTGAAATGAAAATACTGTGATATATAATATAATCGCACAGATTAATCGTATTGATGTTTCCAAGAATCCTGTTAATGTTTGACTCCCCCTTAGAAAAGGTCACGGCAATGTCGCGACTGCACAAAACACGACCTCCACCGAACACGACCTCCACCGAACACGACCTCCACCGAACGCGACCCCCACCGAGCGAGACCCCCACCGAGCGAGACCCCCACCGAGCGAGACCCCCACCGAACGAGACCCCCACCGAGCGAGACCCCCACCGAGCGAGACCCCCACCGAGCGAGACCCCCACCGAGCGAGACCCCCACCGAAAGAGACCCCCACTGAACACGACCCCCACCGAGCGAGACCCCCACTGAACACGACTTCCACTAAACGAGACCCCCACCGGGCACAACCTTAGCCGAGAAGGAGCAGCAACGCGCGCAGTGTTTGACAAATGAGTTGCAGAACTCTTTTGACATTTTCTTCCCAATCTTAATTCCATTCCACGGAGCACGATCCCTGCCACCGACGGTTCCCCCGGGCACGGGTCACGTGGGGCAGCAGCTGATCGCACCCGTAGCCAATGGGGCGCGTCGCCTACGGCTCTGCTATAGGTTTCATTAAAGTGTTCCCCCCTTTTACTGTTGTACGTTTATAGGGCGTCGTCATTGTAATCATCATCATTAGAGGTGGGCAATCCACTGCTGGATGAAGCCGTCAGAGCAAGAATGCGTTTGTATGTTTAGGGGAAGGGTTCTCTTCGCTCTGGTTTTGGGGCAACCTGTTGATCAATGTGCCCAGTTTGCTTTTGGGTACGACCCTATTAGCAGCACAGGTTTACAAGAAGGCATTCCTCCATATGCGAAAGTGCGAAGCTCCTGAAAAATCGGTGAAGTGAAATTCCGTACATCGAAGCCGAGCTTTCCCCAGTCGATGACGTGTACAATTGGAGATTCGTTCCTACGGAGACAACAACAACTATATAATACGGCCCCAAAACGATATACATTCACATTAAAGAATGCAGGAAACCTTTTAAAAGCACATATTCAATGGAAAATCGATACTCTTGTTCTAAAATAATACTCGGTCGTGAAATAAAAAATACTGTATGGCACTGACCAGAAACTGGTGATCGCTGTGTCAGGTGGTGGTTCAGTGAAGTGGTGGTGGAGGTTCAGAGAGGTTGTGGTGGTGGTTCAGAGAGGTGGTTCAGCAAGGTGGTGGTGGTGGTTCAGTGAAGTGGTGGTGGTTCAGAGAGGTGGTTCAGTAAGGTGGTGGTGGTTCAGTGAAGTGGTGGTGGAGGTTCAGAGAGGTGGTGGTGGTTCAGTAAGGTGGTGGTTCAGCGAGGTGGTTCAGTAAGGTGGTGGTGGTTCAGAGAGGTGGTGGTGGTTCAGAGAGGTTGTGGTGGTGGTTCAGTAAGGTGGTGGTGGTGGTTCAGAGAGGTTGTGGTGGTGGTTCAGCGAGGTGGTTCAGTAAGAAGGTGGTGGTGGTTCAGTAAGAAGGTGGTGGTGGTTCAGTAAGGTGGTGGTGGTGGTTCAGTAAGGTGGTGGTGGTTCAGCGAGGTGGTGGTGGTTCAGTAAGGTGGTGGTGGTTCAGCGAAGTGGTGGTGGAGGTTCAGAGAGGTGGTCCAGCAACGTGGTGGTGGTGGTGGTTCAGTAAGGTGGTGGTTGTTCAGTAAGGTGGTGGTGGTGGTTCAGTAAGGTGGTGGCTCAGTAAGGTGGTGGTGGTTCAGCGAGGTGGTGGTGGTGGTTCAGAGAGGTGGTTCAGTAAGGTGGTGGTGGTTCAGTAAGAAGGTGGTGGTGGTTCAGTAAGGTGGTGGTGGTTCAGCGAGGTGGTGGTGGTGGTTCAGTAAGGTGGTGGTTCAGTAAGGTGGTGGTGGTGGTGGTGGTTCAGTAAGGTGGTGGTTCAGTAAGGTGGTGGTGGTTCAGCGAGGTGGTGGTGGTTCAGTAAGGTGGTGGTTCAGTAAGGTGGTGGTGGTGGTGATTCAGTAAGGTGGTGATTCAGTAAGGTGGTGGTGGTGGTTCAGCGTGGTGGTTCAGTAAGGTGGTGGAAGCCACACGAGCCGAGCTTGGGGCATGTCAGGGTGAGGGTCGTGGGAAAACCAGGATAGGAGGAAAAGCACGAACCATGGGGGAGCAGCATGGCATGTTGCTTGGACGACCGACACACCGAACATTTATTCCTTCCATTCTCCCCTCTAAACAAATTATTTAAAGATTAAATATTCCGTAAACGCGAGTTTAATCTGACGTGTATCGAATTCGGTGCCTAGTTTACGATTCGTGCATTGAGTTACCATATAACGGCGGATGACTCTGCCTAAAGTTGTCTTCGTATAGAGTCATCTATAGTGTTTGTGCTCGCCTTAGACATACAGAGAGCTAAAGTATTGAGGCTTTGAATTCACTTGTCCCCAGGCTCTTAATGCCAGGAATTGCTTTCCATGTGTGGCATCTCTCTCTCTATCTCTGGGGCAGCTCATATATAATTGTGTCGTAAATAAACCTTCTGCACGCAGGGTCACTTTTGTTTGCTTAAATGAAACGCTCCATCATCTCACACTTTTCTATCATCGGACCATCCGCATGATCCACTTCAGCTTGCAAGGTCGAGACTACACAAATCGCTCCACCCCAATTCCTCCACGCATGTCAAATGATTACCAACTCCCACACACCGATGATGACGACCTGTAAAATTCCACGTTATTCACGATCAGCCTTGCAATTTATTGCAGCGCCACGCGATACGTTTTCACGTTTAAGAGGTGCTGCGTAAAACTATTTAAATATAATTAATTTATTGAAACGGCAGTCCTTAATATGATGATATTGTGTTCTGTTTAAGTGCTGGCTTGGTGTGTATCTATGTATACAGTAGGTATGTATCCTACATAGGGGTCTGAGCAACCTTTCCGTCTGTGCAATCCGTGGCACATTCACCCGCTGTTATAGTGCGTGCAGAACATGGGTCAATGCCTACAGCCACCCAGTGACACCTTTGTGGAATTGCTAAATTACAAGACCCTGTGACATCATTTGAAAGAGTATGCCGTTCTTTACAAGCGTAATAACCCAAAGGCAATTTGTATTTAAACATATCAAAGCAAAACATGTTATACTACCACAAGAAACGAAACCACACCTTGAAAATGAACTTGCCAAACATCTGTGCAGGACCCTCCTTAAAACGAGTATTGAGGCTCAGTGAGAAATTTCAATAAATAAAAGCTGTTAATGGCACACAAACTTAGAATAATAAATGAATTGGATAAATATTCCCAGGCTGCATTCTCCATGGTTTGCCAGGCCGCAAACATTACTCTGTGTAGCAACACATGTGAAAGAGCATTGCCCTATCCGATGTTGGTTTAGGGGTTACTTGAAGCAATATCAGAGGTAGTTTGTCTTGTGTGTTTAAATTATTTCGCACCGTACACGGTCAACCGTGCTAATCGGAGGTGCGAGGGAAGGACAACTAAACACAAGCGGCTTTAAAGAATGAATTTTATAATCTAAATTGTAAAGTGCATAGCTCCAGTAGCTTGCTAATATCGGAAGGAAGATCGTTCCAGACGGCCTCAGAAGCGCATTCCGTGGGCTGTTCTCCAACACGCAAGGCTGCACTGCGAGAGATCCGTGACGCTGATAGCACAGCCGCTATTTCTGACCAAATAAATGATTTTAAGTCCTCTGCGTTGCCTTCTTGCCCACGAATCCTGTTATCTACGGGGATCAGAGGAACTTGGAGTTTCTTGTGAAGCCATGAAGCTGCACCGCTCAGGCTCCGGAGCCGAGAGCCTCAGTCACGGTTTTGATTTCGCTGTCGCGTCGAGGTCACTGCGGGTCCCGCGAGGGACTGCACGTGCCCTCGGCGTCGCGTCACGCACGTCACGTGGCGTTTCGTCACACTCGCACAAAGACGAAGACAGACCCCCCCCTCACCCACCGTGTAGCCTTAGCAGACTGTTGGGGCGAGCGCTGTTATAGCGAGCGCTGGTGTCGCACACTCGCTGAAAATAACTTCAGTTGACAGAAAGGGGCCTTGGATTGGTGTGAACTTGATCCAGGTGGAGGAGACTTTGTACTTCCCAACTGTGGGATTTGATGCAACGCCTTCCCTGTAGCCCAGCAAGCGTGGAGCGCACACGTTCGTCCTTATTGTGTAGAGTACATTTAATATAAAAAAAATGCAAAGTGGCTCCCTGCTCATGTAAGCAAGCTGGCGGTGTTCATCTTCTGTCTACAACCCTGATAGCAGTCGTGGAAATTCAACCATTTGTTGACTTCACCACAAGGTGGCGCTTCTTTTATTGACCCGCGAAGGATAAAGGACCGAGTCGACCCCGACAGGGATTTGACCTCGCATCCTTGAGAACCACGCACACTGCACTCACGGCACATTTGGCTTGTCTATTTTGTTCAGCCAGGCGAGAACTTAAGAGATCGAAAAGAGTCTCATTTTGAATTGGCCTGCGTCATTAATATGGGAAAAGCAAAGACAAATAATATAAAACGGCAATTGAAATCGGCACAGAAACAATTACATCACGCGGGAAATCAAGAATATTACACAAAAGTAAATCAGTGGTAAATAATATATTACCTTTCACTTCAGTCGGCACGGGCAGATTATTTTCAGATTGATCATAGTAAAATTACACGTACCAGACATTGTGGCAACCTAGGATAGAGATGAGTGTTGCATTTTGAGAATCCAGCCAGCATTGCTGCACGAAACACACGGGCAAGCACCGGGGAGTGCGAGGCGAGTTTCATCTTCACCGCGTGGGTTTTCCCGATGGACTTCCCAATCATCGTCGTGATCTGCAGCCCTTCCCCGCTCAAAACGTCTCTTGGTTTACTCCTCCACAATCTGGGAGATAATGGGATGAGTTCAAATGAGAGAGACAGGAAGTTGATCGTAAATGAGAATTGCGCGGAGAGAAAGCTTAGGGTGGAGGGGAAGACTGCAGACTGAGACTTACGATTGCACTTGAGATGCTACTGCACGGTAGTGGTGGTATGCAGTGGTGGTATGCATCCGCAAAGCATTTTCACGGCACGCCGCCGCAGTTGAACCATTTCATGTTAATGGCAGTTGCCCTTAATTCGAAATACCCGCAAAGCTTGGGTAATTTCAAGAACTCCCAAAACACAAAAAAACCAATCAATATTCGCCTCCCCCTGGAGAGTTCAGCCCATTAAGATGAAGCGATCGTTAGGGAGACAGGAAGAGTCAGCACGAGCCGGCAGGCGCAGCGTCGCAGTAATGCACTCGGAGAGCATTAACCCCGCAACTCTTCCTACTCACCCCCCACCTCATCACCCCCCCTCCCCTGCCCCCCACACCCTCCAGGTCAGACTCCGAAGAGTGTCCTGGACAGCATCTACGGTGAGATCCGCAACGGTGGCTCTGTGTTGCGTGGGCCATCTTCGCTGGACGAGCACGAACGCGTACAGAACGTCACCACTGCGCTGTTGCCGGATTAGCGCCTCGCCATGCCGTGCAGGACATGGCGGTTATCTCGCCACGCTTCAGTACGAGTTGGTTAAGGCGGGGAACAGACGTGAGAACATAGACGTACAGTACAACAACGTATGTTTTCTGCACCGACCTCTGCCGGTAACGTAGCCCTCCTGTTGTCCAAGCGTTGACAAGAATAAGATGAAACCGCGCGTTCTCTTGCGAACGTAGGCTCCTGCGTACGCGTTGGGTTTTGTGAGAAACGCGCCTTTGTTTAATAAGTTTGATAAGCTTCAAATCAAGATTTTAATAAGTTTGTTTGCCCACGAAATTTGGAGGCGTTTTAAAAGCACAGCAAAAAAATCAACACACGCAGAGTTATTGTTTACGCCCTGACAAAGTTTGTTACTGGACACGCGCCATCCTGCAAGGATCACGATAATAATTTGCAAAAGCACGCGATGCCTGGAGCCGATGTGAAGCTGCACTCATTCGACCCCAGGGCTGTGTGGTCCTCTCTGGCACCGCACATGCCGTTCACAGGGTCACATGACCACGCGTGTATGCCCCACACACCACCAACAACACCAACACACACACATTGCGACACACAAAAGGCAAAGATCCCCCTTATAGCCTTAACAGACTGTTGGGGCAAGTGTCTACAGCGAGCACCCACAAACCCCACTCGCATCAAGCCGCACCACCTCGCGCGTCACCCACACCAATGTGTGGACACCCCGACTCCGTTTTTGTATCGAGTATCGTTCGGCACGGTGTCCGTCGACGTTTCGCTCCACGTGCTAGGGAGCCTCATCGAGAACCGAATGTCCCCTCCCCCCAATCCCCGTGGCAGCCTCGACTCCGTGCTTGCAGGCGGCTGGCTCTCCAGGCCCCTTGATGTGCGTGCTCTTCAGCGTGAGCGAGGACTTCATGTGCCATTGGCTCGCGCGGCTCGACTCGTCCGCACCCACCACCTACAAGCTGAACTGGAGGGCGTAAGTGCCAAGCCCCCGCAGTGACCAATCAAACTTGATTTCTCTCATTTTTATATATATTTAAAAAGTTACTTTAAAAATCCAAGGACCCCCGCATCCCCTTTGACATCGTACCTCTGATTAGTACGGTTGGCTGCGTACTTAACGCATGCACCAGTTGTGGAGCATAGTGTAACACGTTTCTTGGATTGAGCAAGGTCATTATAAGATGATGATGATGATAACAGGGGACCTTTCTTTCCAGTGTCAAAGTATGAGAACAGCTTTTACTCTTTTTGGCAATAACACGGGTGATCAGATGCTCAAACACCAAACAGAAATCTTTTGCAAGGAATCATGTCATCGACACCTGTTTTATTGCAAGAAAGGGTTAAACCTATTTTAATAGAGAGATCATGACGTTGGGAGGGAATTCAAAAGTGGAGCAGGGTGAGGGACGACGCAGACAAATGTTGTGGCCTGGAGCATGGCGAGTGGGTGAGTGGTTGTTGTGGCCTGGAGTGGGAGTGTGGTGAGTGTATGATTGTTGTGGCCTAGAGTGTGATGGTTGCTGAATAATGGAGGAGACTGGTCGGTCATTCTGGTAGAGAGTCCTCAACATGGGAGGGATCCACGCATCGGGAGACGTGAAATGTAAAGACAATACTGGGGGCCTCTGAACAGGTGGCGGCCGTGTTGCATATATTCAAATAGCACATTGCCGGAAATCATAATCTTTTAACATTTTGTTATATTGCTTCTCGTCGTTACCTCTTGAAACAAGAGATGGTTTAACACGGGAATAAAGTGCCTGCATTCATTCGACAAGCAATTGCTGCACAATATCTTAAAGAGTTGAGAGTTAATACAACGTAATACGTTTATTGAGTTTGGTGACAATATCTCGCTATTCTTTGCATGGAGGGGAGGGGTGGGCCCCATCTATAAACGGACCACTCGATACCTCAAAATAACCCCTCGATCCCATCGTAGCCTGCACGTCGCCATCACGGCCTCGCCTGGCAGCGCGCTGCCGCTGTTGATCCGCGCCCCGTTCCCGACCCTGGCCACGTTCAGGTACCACGGATCTCCGAGCAACGACACGACGTCGCCTCCGCTCGACGTGGACCCCAGCTGGGACGCCAACCGTCTCTACTACGTGCAAGACGACGAGTGAGTGGCGCGTGGCCGCCGTGCGGTGGTGCCAACACGGGCACTAGGCCGGCTCGTTTTGTCGGTCCGCCCTGTCCCCTCTCCTCCAGTCATCAGTCCTCGCGAGGGGCACATGTCGGCGAAAATGTATAGACAACAACAATAACAATACAAATAAAGGATGGGTAGGTACTCTGCGGTGTGTTCTGTCCTCCGGAGAAGTGGGAGACTCCACAAGAGCCGAGCACCACGGGTTTGTGAAACGACAACACTTCATTTCAAAGTGTTCTTCCTGCGATAGTGATCACAAACACCCTCCACGTCACGACACCGCTACGATTCCTCTGTTAATAGGATCGAGCGCCAGTGTTCATATTCTAGACCCAATTATTATAAGTATTTTATATATCTTCTTTTGGTTCTTTCGGTAAAGTCACGTAGAATGAGAATAAAATAAGAAAATAAAATAAGACAATATTTTAAGACTATTTTATTTTATTATTTTATTCTCATTCTACGTGACGTTACCGAAATAACCAAAAGAAGATGAATCCTTGCAGTCACGAAAGCTTTAAATCGATATTTTATATATTTAAATCAACTTTAATATCGTCAATCGTGCATATCTTCATTACCACCAACTCAAACAATTAACATTACAAAGTTCCTGTCAGTCGATTGGCACAGTTAATATCAATTTAACAGCTATATATTATTGGAGCTAATGTAACAATGCAGCTGGTCAGTAAGGAGTCAGCCCAAATCTAAATTGGGTGCGTGCCCCCGACTCTGCTGTGCACGTGGGTGCCCGGGTTCCAATTCCTAATCACCATCGCTTTGTCTTGTAACAACAATAACACATTAAAGCCACAACTGGCTAGCCGTAACTATAATTATCAGAGTGCACAATCATGCGCGCGAGTCATCACAGTCGAGCTCGCACCGGCTACACAGGCAAGGGGCCTAGGAGGAACCTAACGGATCAAGGGACCCCCAGATTCGAGAGCAAAATGATGTTGGGTGCATCAATTACCAGTTCAGGATCTACCAAGCCAGGGGTGTTTAAGGAGTGCTCCGCCACTGTTAGTTTGGTTGTCGACCCCTGTAGTAAGCATTACACACAATAATTAACTCCTGTACAGTTATCCTTCTCATCCTGCCTTTTCCAAATCTTTCATCTCCTTGCCATGTCACTGTATTTCTTGCTCACCTCTTGTCCTTCATGCCAGCGATAAGTTGTATCAATGTTAAAAGGGGTTGGCCCACAAAAATAAATTTCTTCTCATAGCTTCGCATAAAAGGGCTTTTTCTAGTGCTGTAAGGCTCACCCTAAAACAGGGCTCGCCATGCAACTTTTACTTATAACCCAGAGGCTCACAACAGGAACATCACCACACCGAGTACCATCAGTCTCGGTCTAGCAGGATGCAGCCGTGACTTCGTGCTTTCGTCTCCCCGAGCGGAGACTTCTCGAGCCCCTTGATATCGCATCAGGAGCTGTGAAAATTACCCTGGTAATGCATGCCCTCCCACCACCAATCAGGTGGGCATTGTTACTACTCAATCATTGTTATTACTCAATCATTGTTATTACTCATTCATTGTTATTACTCAATCACCCTCCAGCTAGATTGGATGCAGCTGATTGCGTCGAGATAATCAGGCGTTTCCGTGGCTTTACACAAGCTGAAAGCCTCCTCGCACTCCGCTAACAACAAGTAGATCCCGTGAGCCACCCAGGCTGGCCGGCCCCATGTTGCAGGTGGCCCACCCTGGTCCAGGCCCCCAGTGGGCGAGTACCAACCACATAGCCAGGCGAACGCTCACGGACCACGTCCCTCCACTGCAGCAAGCGCTGCTCTCGTGATGCTCCAGCATGCTCCCAACAACGGGCGCTGCTCCGTCTCCTCTGCGACTCACACCTGTGTCGTTGGAGTTCGCGTCTCATAAACATGGAATATGACCGGTATCGGCCAAACTTCCCAATGCTGGAAAACGACTCGGTTTCGATAACACAGAGCAACATCGCCTGGAAAAATCTGCCCATGGTGGACGATGCCCATGGTGGACGATGCCCTTGGTGGACACTGCCCATGGTGGACATGTTAATATATTGGACTGACCGATCCCCGTTGGCTCACAGGACACGGATGAGAACCGATTGAGACAAAACTAAATTTAGTAAAGAAGAGCAGAGGCGCGAACAGAGCACGTGCAGTGCAGAAATCTCAGTAAAAGACACGCATTCACAAAGAAGTGGGAAAATACAATTCACAACAAAAAGCGAAGTATGAATGACATATTGCACCTACTTAGAGCCTGGTCACATATCTAACGTGAACGCAACATTATGCGAATCGCTCACATAGTCACCTCTGAGGTTTTACTCTCACCTCTCTTTGCTGTCACATCTCGTGCTTCTGCGCAATGTCACGTGCGAGCGAACCGCGTGCGTTTCCCGTTGACCCTTGACCCTTGACCTCCCGCACGGGACGTGCTGCGAGTACAGGCTCCTGCGGATGGCCTGCGACGAGAAGGACGGCTGCGTGGTCTGCAAGCTCAGAAAATTCCACCTCAACCTGGGGCTGAACTACATGTACGAGATGTGGGTGACGGCCAACGGCACTGCTGAATCCCAGCACCTGCGCTTCGAGCCCCAGAATCAGAGTACGAGCCCCTCTCTCCCTCCCTCCCGCGTCGCCCCACGGACACGGGTGAAGTGTCGTACCAGCTCGAGTGTGCTGCATGGGTTTCCTCCCACCACACGGGGGGGGGGGGGTGGTGTTGCGCTGGGCATGCGAAAAACAAAGAAATGTTGTAGGACCCCCCCCCCAAGTAGCTCAAGGGGCCTTCTGATTCGCATAAAAATATGCGTTTGCCAAATATCAGAGCAAAAAAACAGATCCTGATGAACATGAACAGCTCATCATTCTTATAACAATCAAAATATATTTAATTATCTATTACTTTGATTACTGTGCACAACTGTGACATAGGTGAGTTACGCAGCTTGTCGCGTGACAAACCCAAATTGTATTTCTGCTTAGTTAGGAACCTCAATGGAATCAAACCTGCGATGTGTGGATTGCAGGTCCGGCCTGTAAACCATCACACCGTGGCAGCTACCCCCACCAGCATGTTCCGGCTTCATGAGGAATCCTTTTTTTGGAATCGTTTGAAACCAACACGCGTTCATAATGAAGGTTTGCCAGATTAAAAAACTTACCTGAAATTTACTCAATTTGGGAACGCACATAGCAATCATCGCCCCCTATTGGCAAACCAGTGGCCATTTTCAGAGCAGGTGTCAAGTCACCTTGTGCCGCAAAGGGGCAGCTGCCACTGGGGGTGCCCTTTCTCATGTGTTGAGTTGAGATGCGATGTAAAGCGTTCAGGGAATGTCCGGCGTATAGGAGGGTGCTATAGCAAGTACACTTCACGACGTTCTTATAACCATAATGGTTGCCCAATATTGCCACCTTGCCCAGCTCGGCCGTTAACATGAGCAGCACGGTCGTCGGTGGGAGCGAGAGCCCGCGTGAAGTGCCCACGTGTTCCTGTGTGTGTGTGCCTGTGTGTGTGCCTGTGTGTGTGTGCCTGTGTGTGCCTGTGTGTGTGTGTGTGTGCCTGTGTGTGTGTGTGCCTGTGTGTGTGCCTGTGTGTGTGTGCCTGTGTGTGTGTGCCAGTGACGATTATCTGAACCGGTCCCGGGCCTCCCCTAGGTCGACTCAGCCTCTAAATGAGTACCTGGTGCGGTGTGTAAACATTGCCGCTAGGTAGACAAAGTCGGTCGTGCGTGGTGCTGCCCACCCACCCCCTCGTGTACCGTTCCGGCCTTCATAGGTGCTCGCTAACAACACTTGCCCCTACAGTCTGTTAAGGCTATATGGGGGATCTTTGTCTTTTGTGACTGTGTGTGTGTGTGCCTGTGTGTGTGTGTGCGCCTGTGTGTGCCTGTGTGTGTGTGCCTGTGTGTGTGTGTGCCTGTGTGTGCCTGTGTGTGTGTGTGCCTGTGTGTGTGTGTGCCTGTGTATGTGTGCCTGTGTGTGCCTGTGTGTGTGCGCCCGCAGTCCTCCTGCCTCCACCGAGTGACGTGGGACTGACTTCGGAGCGGGACGAGCCCACGCAGCTCGTGGTGCAGTGGACAAACCCCTTCTACATCAACACCAAGTGCCAACTGCGCTACCGACACCAAGGGACCAGCCACTGGACCACGGTACCGACGACCCCGGCGGACTCGCGCCGTAAATTGCTCGCCGCAGAGAGAAACGCGGGTGGTCGGACGGGGCTGAGCGAGGGGCACGGAGTGCTGCCGCGCCAGCGTGGAGCCCCTCGGGGGGAGCTGGGGCGGTTGTCGTTGGCGCCGTGACGGGAGCGTGCCTGTCGTTGGCAGGTGAACGACGTGATGGACAACGCATCGCACTACACTCTGTACGACCTGGCGCCCGGCTCCCTCTACTGGGCCCAGCTGCGCTGCCGCATCATACCTGAAGGAGAATATTGGAGCCCCTGGAGCCAGCAGCGGGTCGGACAGACACCCGACGCAGGTGCACGCCGATATCACCGCACGAGCTGGTACCAGCCCCGTCCTGTTGATGGGGTGCCCATCAGACGGACAATGGCAGTACAGCTCTCTCTCTCTCTGTCTCGCCTCGATACACCGTGTCTATATCCCGTGTGTCAACTCACGAGGAGTTCATCATTTGAAAGGGGGAGGGGGCGCCAAAAATGTTTTGCTCAGGACCCCCGATGTGCGAGCATGGGGCCTTCTCTCTTCATCTCACTCCAGCAACTGTGGTGATACACGAGATGTGGGATTTCCCCTTGGTCAGTGAGTTTTTGTTTTGTTTAGCCACACGAGCATCACCGTTCTACTCCTTTGACTGGTGTCGTGATCTGGGAACGAGCACGGCAAGTCGTTACGTGTCCCCTAATAGAACCGTAACGCGCCAAGATACGCGGGTCGCAAACATTATGAATAGAGGGGCGTGAAATGCATTCGCAAGAGAGATTTAGGAGACGTGTCTTCAGAGATAAATATGACATAGACGTAGGGAGATAAAAGCATGTGCTCCTTTGCTTGCAGTAGCCACCAGTGTCACACACTGTGTGCCGTGTGACCGCAAATCCCACAAACCGACCAGGGCAATAAAGTTGATTACCTGAGTGGTTTATGCAGTTAGCCACAAGGCCGCTACAGGCCATGATTAACGGTGCGCTTGAGCTCGCGCCGCGGGTGAAACTTGTCCCGGGGGTCGTAGTTCGGACGTGAACTTGCACCCGGCCCTTACGTCACCACGCAGGTGAGTGAGGGCTGCCGAAGACGGCGAGCTCGAGTCGCTGCACAACAGGGAACCGTGCCACCTTTCCCAGGGGCGTTTTGTCTGACCGCTTGCCACGTGCCTCCCCATGCCCGCGCGTGCCTCCCATGCGTCTCCGCGTCCCCAGTCCCGCTAGGGGTGCCGGACATGTGGAGGGAACTCGGCGAGGCCGACGCCCGGGGGTGGCGGGACCTCACCGTCTTGTGGAAGGTGAGCCACCGCTTCTTTCCCCGTGTCCAAAATCATAAAAATAACGATTCGAAAAGTTATTCCGCGACGGAGACCTCCGTGCCACGTCGTCATAACCCCACCGCCGGACGTTGCGTGCCCGGCGGCAGGATTTACCGGAGAAGCAGGCACGCGGCCGCGTGCTGCACTGGCTCGTGTCGCTCCACCCGGGGAACCGGGAGACGAGGCTGGAGGCCCAGTACCGCGGCGCGACACTGGCCGTGCCGGCGAACGCTCCTGTCCACGTGAACGTCCGCGCTGTCAACTCGGCGGGGAGATCGAACGCCGCGGGGCTCAGCGTCCCGGCGCTCGGCCAATCCGGTGAACGCTCCCACACCACCGTGCCGAATCGTGCCGGCGGCGCGTACGGGAGGGTACCGCTGTCACGCCGTAGCCGGTTTCATATGGGCAGCTGGGATACTTAGCAACGGGTTCACGCCAGACCACGTGATGAGCGTCGTGTACACGCGCGGCTCTTGTTTACTGATCCGCTGCTGGACGAGACCCTCCCTGTGCTGCGTGGGTCACGGCAGTGTTTTGACCCTACTTCACCACGCTGGTTGATGAAGGCAGGGAGCATTGACGTGGCAGCATAGACTACAGAACAATGGAATTTTCTCCACTGACTTCCGCTGATCACCACTTCTCTCAAGGGACATCACAGGGGTGTAATATTAACGTGCCGCCATATTCTCCAGGTTGACTTATTAACGTATAGACGGCAGCCAATGAGGTCAGGGTTAGGGTGGCTCATAGGGACAGCCGAAGGGCTCTGAAATTGTTCCAGAGGCAATTCATGCTATGATTACGCAACCATCGCACACCACGCGGCTTGGATAGTGAGGTGTTAGGTTCTCCTGCAGTGGTGTTTCAGTGTCGGCATGTTTTGATAATTAGCATTGGTTATCAAGGTTATCCACTTTGCATTTAACGTGCGGCCAATTCCACACGCGTGGAGTGTTGGCGAGTATGATTCACTTCCAGTGACCTATGACCCCTATTCTCTGCATGGCGCCCACTTGTGTATGCACGTGTGTGAACCCGGCAACCTGAGTTCGATTTCCGCGCACAAAACCATAACAGTGGTGAATATATGGAATAGTTCTGGGCCTCCCGTAGGTCGACTCAGCCTAGAAATAAGTACCTGGTGCATTGTGTAAATGACAGCATTGGGGAGGCAAAGGGCGTGGTGTTGGCCACCCACCCCATAGTGTGCCATGCCGGCCTTCATAGGTGCTCGCAAACAGCACTTTTTAAAACTATTTTTATGTTACCAGATAGGGTCCACTGAGCTACATAGTTTTTGTTTTCAGAAGAAACCTGGCCACAATGTGACTTATCACGTGAAACATAATTTATAGCAGCCAAATTCGCTAAACACGTTTCTAAATGTGGAGAGAAAACCCGGAGGACCCAGAGAAAAATCTAGGCGACCACTGGGAGAGCATGCAAACTCCAAATATAGAGCAGGCGTCAGGGTCTTGATAAAACCCACGACCTCCTGTATACCAGGCGAGGTAGTTAACATATCGCCACCATGGCGCCCCCTTGCCCCAACAGTCTGTTAAGACCATACGGGGGACCTTTGTCTTTGTGTGTGACAGGGATGCTGCCTCCACTGCAGCTGAGCGCTCACAGCCAGGAGGGACCCGATGGGCGCCCGGCATTGCGCGTCACCTGGGCAGCCCCAGCATGCCAGCATCACATGGTCAAGGGGTACCTGGTGGAGTGGAGTCCAACGACCGTCTCGACGTCGTCATCCACGTCATCGGATCTTCCGTCGCTGGCAACGCCGGCGTTGTCGCCGGCGTTGCCGCCGACGCTTTCATCACTGCCCTCGTTAGCCTCGCCATCGTCTTCGGTGGCAGCAGCAGCAGCACTGACAGCGCCATCACCGTGGAGACCATTGCTCACGCCCAGCCTGACCAGCTGGGCCCGGCTGCCAGCTAACAGCTTGTCCTTCAACATCACAGGTGAGGCATCTGGAGCCGTTCCGACATTTTAACAATGCACCTGTGTTTTCTGGAATTGATTGAGGAAACGGCATGGCCATGTTGGCTCCACGGAACGGTACTGTCATTGTATCTGTGCGTCGTCCGTTACCTCTCTCATCTCGATAACGACTCATTGGACGGGCGCAATCTCTGATTTGCAAGTGTGAATGTTTTCGGGGATGCTTATGCGGGCCAGTCTCACAATCCAATAATTTTAGAAAATAATTTATAAAAACGTATTGCTATTAATTGCATATAATGACGATTGTCCACTCGGGAGAGCCTCACTAAGTCTCAAGACTACTTTCCAAAAGGTTCCTGCATGGGATATTTGGCAAATACCGTCACTGAGTGTTTGGTATTCAATTATTTATCTTTGTACGAAGTACGTGGTTTTATTCATCAAGTTATATGGACAATTTTCTTTACCCAAATAACTTGGCTATGTGTGACTGCGATCGTCATTGCTTGATGTTTTTGTTTTGGATTGATAAACGCCGAGACCCTCAAACTTGTATTATTACAAACCGCAACGTGTTCTTGTTGACCCAGTTCAACTTCTTATGGGGAGGTGTCCTTAACACAGAAGGTCCCCGTTTCAATCCTCCTTCTCGGTTTGACGAGCTCTATTTACGATGACGGTGGTGGTGGTGGAGTTTTCAAAACGTCGAGAAGAGCGCGTGAGCGTGCGCACGGTGCATTGTCTACGAAGGTGGGCAACCCCTGTGGGTCACTGCAGGCACGGCACTTTGCTCTTTCCTGGGACACTTAGCCTCCTTCCTCCCTTGATGGTCAGACGGGGCAGATGGGCGACGTGGGCTGGTAACCCACACATTGCCCCATGACAAGTCATCCTTCAATCGTTTCACCAGCAGCAGCAGCAGTAAGACACATTGCCTTATAATTTCCAGGAACAAAAGTTGGCTTTCACAGATTCCTCCGAAAACTCTTCCATGGTCAACTTAAGTTACAAAAACGTCAACGTAGAGCGAGGGTGCTAACCGCACTGGCGTGTGATCCCACTAGGAGAGGCAGCGCATTTTTATTTTGTAGCGGAGAGCATTCACCAGGAGACGAAAGTGAAGCCACTGGACGGCGTTCCCGGCAGTTGGCTGCGTCCGGAGCCAAACGTCGCTCCCCACGGCCACATCGCGACAGCCCGTGTGGGTTGGGAGGGGAGCGGGCGAGATTCCCCCGCTGACCTGTGGCCTCTGACCCCCACAGGGAGCCTGGAGCCGTGCGTGGGCTACGCGGTGTCGGTCTACGCGCGCTACGTCCGAGGGGAGGGGCCCCCCGCAAGGACGATCGCCTTCGCCCGCGAATGCCGTAAGTCGAGCCCCCCCCCCCCCAATCCTCTATACCCTGCGCAGCCTGTTGTAGACAGGTGGGGGGGGTACAGCCCGTTGTAGAGAGACAGGTTGGGGGTGCAGCCTGTTGTAGAGAGACAGGTTGGGGGTGCAGCCTGTTGTAGATATACAGGTGGGGGGTGCAGCCTGTTGTAGAGAGACAGGTGGGGGGTGCAGCCTGTTGTAGATAGACAGGTTGGGGGGTGCAGCCTGTTGTAGATAGACAGGTTGGGGGTGCAGCCTGTTGTAGAGAGACAGGTTGAGGGTGCAGCCTGTTGTAGATAGACAGGTTGGGGGTGCAGCCTATTGTTGAGAGACAGGTTGGGGGTGCAGCCTGTTGTAGATAGACAGGTTGGGGGTGCAGCCTGTTGTAGAGAGACAGGTTGGGGGTGCAGCCTGTTGTAGAGAGACAGGTTGGGGGTGCAGCTTGTTGTAGTGAGACAGGTTGAGGGTGCAGCCTGTTGTAGAGAGACAGGTGGGGGGTGCAGCCTGTTGTAGAGAGACAGGTTGGGGGTGCAGCCTGTTGTAGAGAGACAGGTGGGGGGTGCAGCCTGTTGTAGATAGACAGGTTGGGGGGTGCAGCCTGTTGTAGATAGACAGGTTGGGGGTGCAGCCTGTTGTAGAGAGACAGGTTGAGGGTGCAGCCTGTTGTAGATAGACAGGTTGGGGGTGCAGCCTATTGTTGAGAGACAGGTTGGGGGTGCAGCCTGTTGTAGATAGACAGGTTGGGGGTGCAGCCTGTTGTAGAGAGACAGGTTGGGGGTGCAGCCTGTTGTAGAGAGACAGGTTGGGGGTGCAGCTTGTTGTAGTGAGACAGGTTGAGGGTGCAGCCTGTTGTAGAGAGACAGGTGGGGGGTGCAGCCTGTTGTAGAGAGACAGGTTGAGGGTGCAGCCTGTTGTAGAGAGACAGGTTGGGGGTGCAGCCTGTTGTAGAGAGACAGATTGGGGGTGCAGCCTGTTGTAGAGAGACAGGTTGGGGGTGCAGCCTGTTGTAGAGAGACAGGTGGGGGGTGCAGCCTGTTGTAGACAGGTTGGGGGTGCAGCTTGTTGTAGAGAGACAGGTTGGGGGTGCAGCCTGTTGTAGAGAGACAGGTGGGGGGTGCAGCCTGTTGTTGAGAGACAGGTTGGGGGTGCAGCCTGTTGTAGAGAGACAGATTGGGGGTGCAGCTTGTTGTAGTGAGACAGGTTGGGGGTGCAGCCTGTTGTAGAGAGACAGGTGGGGGGTGCAGCCTGTTGTAGAGAGTCAGGTTGAGGGTGCAGCCTGTTGTAGAGAGACAGGTTGAGGGTGCAGCCTGTTGTAGAGAGACAGGTGGGGGGTGCAGCCTGTTGTAGAGAGACAGATTGGGGGTGCAGCCTGTTGTAGAGAGACAGGTTGGGGGTGCAGCCTGTTGTAGAGAGACAGGTTGGGGGTGCAGCCTGTTGTAGAGAGACAGGTTGGGGGTGCAGCTTGTTGTAGTGAGACAGGTTGAGGGTGCAGCCTGTTGTAGATAGACAGGTTGGGGGTGCAGCCTGTTGTAGAGAGACAGGTTGGGGGTGCAGCCTATTGTTGAGAGACAGGTTGAGGGTGCAGCCTATTGTAGAGAGACAGGTTGGGGGTGCAGCCTGTTGTAGAGAGACAGGTGGGGGGTGCAGCCTGTTGTAGAGAGACAGGTTGAGGGTGCAGCCTGTTGTAGAGAGACAGGTTGGGGGTGCAGCCTGTTGTAGAGAGACAGATTGGGGGTGCAGCCTGTTGTAGAGAGACAGGTGGGGGGTGCAGCCTGTTGTAGAGAGACAGGTGGGGGGTGCAGCCTGTTGTAGAGAGACAGGTTGGGGGTGCAGCCTGTTGTAGAGAGACAGGTTGAGGGTGCAGCCTGTTGTAGAGAGACAGGTGGGGGGTGCAGCCTGTTGTAGAGAGACAGATTGGGGGTGCAGCCTGTTGTAGAGAGACAGGTTGGGGGTGCAGCCTGTTGTAGAGAGACAGGTGGGGGGTGCAGCCTGTTGTAGATAGACAGGTTGGGGGTACAGCCTGTTGTAGAGAGACAGGTGGGGGGTGCAGCCTGTTGTAGAGAGACAGGTGGGGGTGCAGCCTGTTGTAGAGAGACAGGTGGGGGGTGCAGCCTGTTGTAGAGAGACAGGTGGGGGGGGTGCAGCCTGTTGTAGAGAGACAGGTGGGGGGGGTGCAGCCTGTTGTAGAGAGACAGGTTGAGGGTGCAGTCTGTTGTAGAGAGACAGGTGGGGGGTGCAGCCTGTTGTAGAGAGACAGATTGGGGGTGCAGCCTGTTGTAGAGAGACAGGTGGGGGGTGCAGCCTGTTGTAGAGAGACAGGTGGGGGGTGCAGCCTATTGTTGTGAGACAGGTTGGGGGTGCAGCCTGTTGTAGATAGACAGGTTGGGGGTGCAGCCTGTTGTAGAGAGACAGGTTGGGGGTGCAGCCTATTGTTGAGAGACAGGTTGAGGGTGCAGCCTGTTGTAGAGAGACAGGTTGGGGGTGCAGCCTGTTGTAGAGAGACAGGTTGGGGGTGCAGCCTGTTGTAGACAGGTGGGGGTGCAGCCTGTTGTAGAGAGACAGGTTGGGGGTGCAGCCTGTTGTAGAGAGACAGGTTGGGGGTGCAGCCTGTTGTAGAGAGACAGGTTGAGGGTGCAGCCTGTTGTTGAGAGACAGGTGGGGGTGCAGCCTATTGTTGAGAGACAGGTTGGGGGCACGGCAATAGGGAGCCCCACTGAGCCCCTCTAGACGGAGTTTTTGGCCTCCTCTTTCAGACCGGCCAGACGTCTTGGAGGAGGTGGGGGAGCGCACCCAGACCCACACTTTGCCCCACCACGTGGGAGCTGCCAGTCGACTGACTGTGCTGAACCCACTCACACCGCCTGGTGTGGACAGGCAGGGCAGGGGCGGACGGAGAGTGCGTGGTGCACATTTGTGGCATAGCACACGGTCCGCTCGACTCTCCTGGGACGCGACCACATGTTCACACTTCTGGCAAAATACTCCCCCACAAAAAAACGGGGTCCCCTTGAGTCGGGTGCGTGAGGGCTCGTGTCAGGATGAGGGTACGTGAGGGGGACAGTGTGCGTATGTCTTCACGTGTGTATGTCTTCACGTGTGTATGTCTTCACGTGTGTATGTCTTCACGTGTGTACGTCTTCACGTGTGATTGCGAGTGGGTCTGTGTGTCTTTGTATGTTGTGGGGATGCAGTAGTGTCGCGATCAGCACGCCGCACTGCGAACCTGGCGACCCGGGTTCGATTCCTGCTCACGGCCAACACCAGTGACGATTATCTGAACCGATCCTGGGCCTCCCCTAGGTCGACTGAGCCTCAAATGAGTACCTGGTGCGGTGTGTAAACATCGCCACTGGGGAGACAAAGGCGGTCTGGCGTGGTGCTGGCCACCCACCCCCTCTTAAGCCGTGCCGGCCTTCATAGATGCTACTCGCTAATAGCACTTGTCCCAACAGTCTGTTAAGGCTATACAGGGGATTTTTGTATTTGTATATTAGTGATTAAATGAGTTCTTGCTACGGTAGGTGAACATCGCCACTGGGGAGACAAAGGCAGCCCAGCGTGGTGCTGGCCACTCACCCCCTCGTGTGCCGCGCCGGCCTTCGTAGCTGCTGCCAAACAGCACTTTCCCCAACAGTCTGCTGAAGGCTCCTCGGGGGATCTTTGTCTTTGTGCGCCTGTGTGCACTTGAATGGGCAGCTCCTGATAGGGGGCCGGAGCTGGGGATACAGGAGGTGCAGGGCAGCAGCGCACAGCTCTCCTGGCAGGAGATTCCTCTGGAGAAGAGGCGCGGCGTCCTCCGGGGCTACACCATCCACTACAGCGACCCCTCGCACCTCAACAAGAGTAGGTCCCCCCCCTCCCTGCTGCCGCCCTCCACCTCACCGGAGCCCTCGCCGTCGAGCACGCGGGCGGCGTCACTGCACCGATCGTAATTACGATCCGTGCTGGGCTCCTGCGCACGAGATGATTTAATCGCTCCGTCTACGAGGTCTGTAAGACCCTCTTGGGCTCGTTTCCTCTTTTTTTCCATTTACAAATCGGTGACTCAGCGCCCTGGCACAACACCTAATAATCCCGTAGATGTAGAGCAGATGTAAAAGTTGTTCGAGAAAACATGCATCGCACGTCAGGGTTTTCCGGGCCCATAGTAGTGTTTTGGGATTTGTCGTAGGGGTGCGGCATTGCGTCTCAAGGACGCAGTCGTTCACGCACTGCGCTGTGAACGCAGCAAACCCGAGTTCAGATCCCGGTCATGGCTAGCATCAGTGGCGAGTGATATCTAAACTGGTTCTGGTTACCCCCTCACTCTTCACCAACCTACGCTGAACGATGGTCAAACAGCAGCCCCCATGACCAACAATGGCGTTGGGAGGCCTTCATCCAGCAATAGATTGATTTAAATGTGTAACTTTTAAAGCTAAGTGAGTTGATCCCTGGCATGGCAACCAATCGTGTTCAGAGTTGAGCTGGCGCTCTGATTAATGAAATTAATCGGATACCCTACCAATTATCAGTTCCATTACTTGACTAATCGCATGGCATGAAAATAGTTGGGGGGAAAAAAGTCTGGCATGTTTTCACGTGTGCCACTGGATGGGAGGTGATGGGCAGGGCTTGGCCTCACCATCATCATCATCAGCCACGTCCCTGGGGCATGGTTTGTAGGGAGTTCCTGCCTTCACTGGACAGGATGTCAGGGTGGCCAACATTTTCAAGGGGCGTGAGAAATCGACCGGGGAAAAAAAGCAGTCGATGAGCAATGTTTATTTGATTAATCGGCTTAATTAATCATACCAGATTGAGTTAGGAGCCACGGCATTGTGAATCATGGCGATTGCAAGCCCCTGTCATTTGGGACACGGCCGACGAACTCCCTGGCTATGTGCACCCCACCACTGCCACGGGTCCACATGGTCTCGTGCCCATGCACTCAGTTCCAGTCTTGATTTTTGGTTGGTGCAGACGCGTGGGGTTGTCCACAGGGAGCGTTGTGTGGCTCACGAATTCAGGGAAAGCGTGGGATGGGAGTTCCCTCTGTGTATTTGAACAGTGCAGATTTACTTATCCATTCCCCATGACAAATGTGCCTGGTTTAATAATTCAGAAAACATCTCGGCTACATGTGTTAATGTGTACACATGTGCGCTTAACTTTGTTGCGTAGATGCGGGTGTGGATGTGACTGAGAATGAATGGTTCCATTTGGCGTGTAACATTCAATTAAGTGAGTTTAACGTGTGGTCTTATGGTGAAGGTGTGTCTGTGTGTGCGTGCGGTGTGGTGTGTGTGTGCGGTGTGTGTGAGAGTGGCGTGTGTGTGTGCATACTGAGTTTGTGTGTGGTGTGTTTGTCTGCGGTGTGTGTGAGTGCATGCATGCGGTGTGCGTGCTTGCGGTGTGTGTGCATACTGTGTGTGCGTGCGTGCGGTGTGTGTGTGTGTGTATGTGCGTGCGTGTGCAGCGGTGGAGGTGGACGCGTCACAGTCGAGCGTTGTGCTGCATCACCTCCAAAGCAGCACCGTGTACACGGTGTGGGCGAGGGCTCGCACGGCCGGCGGGGAGGGACCCGACGGCTCCTCAATCTCCTTCAAAACCAAGCGCCTGGGTAACGGGGACCGCCTCTCCTTCCTCACCCCTCTCTGCTCACCCCTCTCCTCACCTCTCTCCTCACCCCTCTCTTCACACCTCTGCAAGTTTACAAGTAAACGGAACCTGTGATGTGCAGCGCCGCACGGACAACCGTATCGAGTTGTGGGTGAGTAGCCAGCAGGTGAGTGGACTGAATCTGCTCCACCGAGTAACTCCAGGGAGCCGTGGGCCCCTGAGGCTCTGCGCCCACTTCCCTGCCACGCTCCACCGGTGAGCGACACGACAAGAGGTGGACTCGGAGTTTCCTGCTCAATTAGAATAGCCCGGAACGAGCGGAGGAGTTGAACTTTTAAAAAATAAAGAATCCGCAAAAGGCTTGCACTGTCAAATACAAATAACCGCAAACGCCTCAAGTGCCAAACTCTGACTTTTTTTTCTGTGAAGCAGGGCACGTGCTATTTGTGTATTCATATAAAAAGCAGTTGTCAAATCACACGCACTTTCACTTCCACATTTACGATGCATGCGGCTCGAGGAGAAGTAATGCGTGTTACGTGAGGCTCCGTCAAGGGTGACTGGTTGTGTTTTTTGTCTAAGAGACTGGACGATTTCAGTGTTCCTCGACACATTTCAGGCTATTATCAATTGCGATTCAATCTTTCACAAGCAGGGGTGTTTTTACAATCGTGTCAATCTTTCCCACTAATACCACCCACACAGTCAGACGTAATATTGTGTCTAGGAAAATAGAACGACTCTGGCTTGAAGCTTGGAGTGACTGAATGGACGAGATCACTCGGGGAACAAAATGCAGTTCCAATTTACAGTCCACACGGGTGATCTTTAGGAATGTTTACATAGAGTATACATAGCCCTTCACAAATAGTTTACATTAGCCTTGGGGATGGAAGACTTCAACTTAGCTCTGTGATAGAATTTCCCCATGGTCATTCTCTGTCCACAGCTGGATCTGTGAGAGCTGTGAATGGAAATTTCTCCGTCTCGTGGCACGATGCAAATTGCACGACTGGGATATAAACTGGGATATAAACTGGGATATAAACGGGGTCCGAATACAGGGAAAGGACTGGGAGGCCGACACCGCATCAGACCAGAGGTGCCCACGTCTCCCGGTGCGATGGATCGTGTATCACGCGACGTGGCATACCCTGCGTGCCTGGCGTGTGTGGCAGATGTAACGCCCGAACATAAAACCCAGACTTTTCTGCCGCTCACTGACCACAGCAAAAGTTTTCCATGTACACTGCACCTTCTTCTCTCCTTCGCTCTCCTTTGAAAGCAATAACGTGAACGCCAGAGAGCTTCCTGTGCTGGGAAATCCCCAAGTATCCGTGCTCGTTGTAACTATCTATAGTGTGGCTGTGACACTTGCTGTCGCGTCACGAGTGGAGCGGTGACACGCGTTCCATCCCGCGGCAGGCGGGCAACTGCGATGAAGTACAGCGGGACTCAGCAGACACGCGTGCTCGCGTGATTACACGTATGTTCCAAACAGTGTGAGTCATGGCTCAAACATTCCCGTGCTCCCTGCGGATCTAGGAGGCGTGTCGGAGCAGAGTCGGAGGGTAAAATCCCGTGGCGTAAAACGGTGCGAGTTAGTTTGAGCGCAGGCGATGAATTGTAATACTTCAGTTTGCCTTTTTGAGTTCTGCAGAGTCCTCTCCTCAAGGTGATGTGAGCGCTAGAGTGCAGTGCGTATTGGCGAAGGGACTTTGCAGTTCGTCGGATCGATTTTTAAAATACAGAGGCAATCATCAACACCACGTACATGTTAATCATTATACCCCAGCTGGAGTGTAGATCATTCTATAGATCAGTGAGATTGTGAGTTCGTATCCTGGCTACGGTTGACTCGCCTCCATCATAATCATTGTCAAGCCAGGCAAAGGAAAATCAGTTCTACTGGGGCCAGTGTTCATTCACAAATCCCCAAAGCGAAGCAACTCAACCAGCTCGCCCTGAGCTAAAGGCAGGGGCAGCGGTCGTCACTTGTATCACTGCTTTGTTGAATTGCTGGGATCCGAGTTTAATCCTCCCGCTCAAAATTGCACTACGTTTTGTTTGCTTGTTTTGTTATGAGACTTGCAATCTGTGCTTTTTACTTAAATAACTGAAACACCTTCCGACGAGCGCAGATTGCTAGATCCCCTTTTGGAGGCGGTGCCTCTCCGCCCATTCCCAGCCGTGTGTAATTCCTTAAATGTCAAAGCCGGAAAGCGAAGGTCATTGAGCTCACGTCCTTCCTGTAAGCGGAGCGTCACGAGGGAATCGTCCGAATGGACCCGCGCGGGGCTCCGTCTATATTTAGTGGCTCCTGCTGTCTGGAGTACCCAGCGAGCGTCCTGACACACGAGGGTGCCTCGCTGGCAGCGCGTGCGTCACGTGCTGCTGCCCGTTGTCAGTGTGTCTGTGTCTCTGTATATTGTGGGAAGCGGTCGTGCCGTGCTTAGCGCTGCACACAGCTACCAACCCAACCACCCGAGTTTGATTCTTCCTCAGAGCCAACATCGTTGACGGATATCCGAACCGGTCCTGGGCTTCCCCTAGATCGACTCGGCCTTAAACAACCATGGATGGTCCCGAAAGTAAAGCACCATCGGTCCTGAAATGTCAAACGTTTTAAAAACTGCCCGACATAAAAAAATAACAAACAACATTCAACGTATTTCTTTACGGATAATATTAAACATTTACAGGGTCTTAAAGGTCCGGGTGGGGGAGAGCACATGAACAATAGAAACACAGAGACATGAACAATAGAAACACAGAGACATGAACAATAGAAACACAGAGACATGAACAATAGAAACACAGAGACATGAACAATAGAAACACAGAGACATGAGCAATAGAAACAGAGACGTGAACAATAGAAACACAGAGACATTAACAATAGAAACACAGACATGAACAATAGAAACACAGAGACATAAACAATAGAAACACATAGCTAGAGACTAATTGTGACAAAGAGGGGAAAGTTAGAGACTGGGGCAAGGAGTGACTATGAGATGCATGCTAGGAGGAGCAGAATGCAGACGGCTAGAGAGAGATGGAGAGACACAGAGAGGGATGGAGAGTGATTTAGAGAGACAGAGAGGGATGTAGACACACAGACAGGGATGTAGAGTGATGGAGAGACAGAGAGGGATTGAGAGACATAGAAAGGGATGGAGAGAGACAGAGAGGGATGGAGAGTGATTGAGAGAGACAGAGATGGATGGAGAGACACAGAGAGGGATGGAGAGTGATTGAGAGAGACAGAGATGGATGGAGAGACACAGAGAGGGATGGAGAGTGATTGAGAGAGACAGAGAGAGACCGAGAGGTATGGAGAGACACAGACAGGGATGGAGAGTGATTGAGAGAGACAGAGAGAGAGACCGAGAGGTATGGAGAGACACAGACAGGGATGGAGAGTGATTGAGAGAGATGGAGAGACACAGACAGGGATGGAGAGACACAGAGAGGCATGGAGAGTGATTGAGAGAGACAGAGAGGGATGGAGAGACACAGACAGGGATGGAGAGAGACAGAGATTGATGGAGAGTGGTTGAGAGAGACAGAGAGGGATGTAGAGACACAGACAGGGATGGAGAGTGATGGAGAGACAGAGAGGGATTGAGAGACATAGAAAGGGATGGAGAGAGACTGAGAGAGACAGAGAGGGATGGAGAGACACAGAGAGGGACGAGAGATGGAGAGGGATGGAGAGAGACAGAGAGTGATGGAGAGTGATTGAGAAAGACAGAGAGGGATGGAGAGAGACAGAGAGGGATGGAGAGAGACAAAGAGGGATGGAGAGACACAGACAGGGATGGAGAGTGATTGAGAGAGACAGATAGGGACGAGAGATGGAGAAGGATGGAGGCTGGTGGGGGAGCTCGCAAATAGCTTGGCTTGCAGATATCGGGTGTTGCTCGTGGTGATGACACTTTGCACTGCCTCTCGCTGCATCGACTGGACATCCCCGTGAAGACACTTTATTTTGGGACCAATATTCCCCCCGACAGCACTTATAAGTGTCTCATCTCTCCAGGGCCGGTAATTTATGACCATTAGCCATATATAGCGGGGGTGGTTAGTGCACTTAACGACAGCGACAGTGTGAGGATGGAATTACCCGGTGATGGTGCAGGCCGGCTCGCCGCGAGTGGGTCGTGCATGCACGATGGCACGCCCACGATGATCGTACCGTCCATTGTGACAGTTGTCTTGAAAACGATACAATTGTGAAACGGAATTACAAAGCCATGGGACATTGATATCCACGATAATCTTGACATCGTAAAAAAAAAATGCCTTTCCTATCTTATCATTCTTCTTTCGTATCGCGTTTGGAAAAAAAAGCAGCAACGGGGCCTGCAACTGTATTGTTTATTTTGTAAAAGGCGTTCCATGCCACTCGGGGTAGCTGAGCGGAGTCCGCGTGTTCCATCAGAAGGACGCGTGGCGTGTTGGGCAGTCGTCGGTGATGAACGCCTCATGGTTTACACCTCGCCGCATTCGCAGTTTGGCGGAGTCGCCGATCGTTCCGTTTATGGAAGAAGTCTCCCCACAGCTTTCGTCTCCCGTGCCTTGTGCAGACACGGCTGAGAGCGGTCTCCACTGTCGCATCATGAAAATAATAGATGGTGTTGTCAACAGCATTCACATCCGTAAATGTATATTGGTCTTTAAGCTTTAGGGGTTTTTTTCCCCGTTAGGTCAATCTGCTGCTATGCAATTGTGTTTGCTAAGCAACGTGTGTGTGTGTGGTTGTCAGGTAGAACTTGAGTAACGGAACCTTGCAGAACCCAGAACAGCAGCAGGGGCCGTGGGGACGGGGAGAGACCTCCAGAGGCGGGCTGAGCACCACGACGCCTCTTGTCCATCTCCCGTGGATCTCACGACCCTCTCCCTCCCTCTCCCCGAACTCTCTCCCTCCTCTCCCCCATCTCACCAGATGACTGGAAGGTGATTGCCATGGTGGCTGTGGTGTGCGTGGCCGTGCTGCTGCTGGCGCTCTCCACCGCGTGCCTGTGCACGCGCTGCAGGAACTGGTACCCGCTGCCCCCTCCCCGCCCCCGGCACGAGACGACGCCCCTCAACGGCGAACGCCGCAAATGGGGGGCCCTGTCCAGGCGCAGGATGTGGGGGGTAGGGGGAGGGTCAGTGGGAGGTCGTGTTCGTGGCTGATTCGGCGAGTTGATTCCGGCAGATCTGGCGGATAAGAGAGTTGGTAAAGAATGGGGTCTGGCCAGTACTTTTCAGTTTCATTTATTAGGAGGTATAACCTTGACTCGGGTACAACCGCAACAAACAAAAACATGAACAAGAAACATCTTAAAGTGACTACACGCAACAGAAAAATCGAGGAAAAAACAGTAAACAAGGATCGTCGGTCCAACGTTTTGGTGGTTATGGTTGGGGGTTTCGTTAACAATAGCGGACGGTTGGTGAAGATTAGGAGTGTGGAAAGTAAGTGCCTTTTTTTGAGACACAAGTGACAACTTTGTGGCCGCTCGCGCTGCCGTGGCTACTGAAGCTCCTCTGCAAGGTCCCACACTCTGGTGTCACTCTTGGCTCAAACCCCCGAGAGCACAGCAGCTATAATTAGATGGCACCGAGCCTCGGGCCGTCCAACCAAACGTGTCACTGACTCACAAGGGAATGGGTTCCGCTGATTGGCCGATTTTACCGGAGGCATCCCGTATGACGTTCCCATCACGTTTGGTGGGGGCTCACGTAAATGCACAGAAACTATTTAAACTTTTTATTTTATGATTTAAGGCCCACTGATCTATTTAGCTTATTTTTCAGATCTACCTGGCCACAAATGTTAGCTAAACGTGGAAATTTATAGCAGACAAAAACTCTCAACGCACTTTTTATAGAAGGAAAAGGCTGATCATATTTCAAGTTAATATTCTTACCAACCCGCGTATCTACACTGCGCTTTTGTTTTCGCAGTAGATATAAAAAAAATTGTCAATTGTGAGTCCACCTGGTATCCAACCAACCCAGGGCAGTAAATTACAATTGTAAATTACAATAGTAAATTACAACAGTAAATTACAATAATTAAACAACAGTAAATGACAATAGTAAATGACAATAGTAAATTACAATAGTAAATGACAATTGTAAATTACAATAGTGAATTACAACAGTAAATTACAATAATTAAACAACAGTAAATTACAATAGTAAATGACAATAGTAAATTACAATAGTGAATTACAACAGTAAATTACAATAATTAAACAACAGTAAATTACAATAGTAAATGACAATAGTAAATGACAATAGTAAATTACAAGAGTAAATTACAATAATTAAACAACAGTAAATGACAATAGTAAATGACAATAGTAAATGACAATAGTAAATGACAATAGTAAATGACAATAGTAAATTACAACGGCTCTGAAGCAAACGCCGGTAGTGCTGCCCTCTGTCGGTCTCTTGTAAAGTAATAACAACATGACTGAGATGTACGTTTTGTTAACTTGTTCATGTACCAAATAATTATTGATCTAGGAAAGCTATACCGAGTCGTAGGACTCTTCTTAATGAGGGTCCTGCATTGGGGTTTTATTTAAAAATTATTTCAGCAAATGAGTGATGAGTCGTGTTTATTATTATTATTATACACGTGGGAGGAAACCACAGTACCCAGAGAAAACCGACGCCTTGCACGAGGGGGCAACGCTCCGTCCCCGTACAGATGGAAACAGATGGTGATTAGTCTACTTCCGGTATCACCTTCTCCTGACGAGCCAGGGTATGGCACCTCGACTCTCATGGGAAGAGAATTTCACAGCATTTGTGTGATCCACCAACCCTTGCCTCCACAATGTTGGATTAGAAGCATCAGCCACCACGTGTCCCATACACACACACACACTTCATACATTCCCCACAACATTTAGAGCTCAGATCTGAGCCGTACTTTGCTCATCTCGTTTCTGGTCCCCGTGCTTCAAGAAGCACACAGCTCCACAGGCTAGGCATGTCCTACTCCATGTTGTCAATTCCTCCCTTCCCTCCGACTCCGGGGGGAAGTGATCGAAATTAATTTTACGAGATTGAACGCACGTGTGGGTTAGGTAACACCAACCCAAGCTAAACGTACATTCGTAATTGTACCCCATGTTTTATTTATTACCAAAATATAACCGTGAAGTTGGCCTAAGAGAGCAACACCACTGACCATTCTCTGATGACTCGTTTAGAGCACAGCCCGGCTCAAAACGATTAACTTCCTTCAGCAAAGTGAGCCACATGGCCTACTAGAAGTAGGCATGTGCTTAGGTGGCGCCGGCTTGGCATGGTAAGGCTGCCGGTGGGTTGGGATGGTGGTTACTCACTTCATCGGCCGTGGAGGGTTGATGGGCTGAGGCAACCCCAACACGGATTTGACCTCGCAACCTTCTGGTCGAGCGAGCCGCTCAGCTGAGAGCGAGTTGTGGAATGTGAATTAGAGAAGAAGGCGTTAGCCGTGACTTACTCATTCTGCATTTCTGTAAAGGCATTGACCGAGGCTGCGTTGTCTCCCCACAGGATCAAGGAACACCTTTACTACCCAGACTTCAGGAAATCTCGTGTGCTCAGAGACCTCATGCAACAGCAGGTAACTATAGCAATCTATCGCTTACACCTGCAGAACATAATTTACCATTTGCGGTATTTTATGCATTGATTGGCCAGTTAGGAAATTTTAATTGGCATATATGCAGAGAGTTGATGTTTTTTGATCTCCATATGATTTGCACTGGAGTTATCCAGCCTATTAATTGCCTTGTGTTGATCCAGTGTTTAAAAATGTCTCTCTGATGGGGCTTCCCAATCGTATAAAGTTAATTTGACTTGACATAAATTCGTGCGAATATGTTGAATTTGAAAACAATATTTTCGTGGACTCAATATTCTTTACAATTCTAATTTTAAATCTACAGATAATGAGAGAAAGGCCGCAGTGTGACGTGTGTTACACTCTAATCGACAACGGCCAAAGAGGCAACTTCTCTCAATGTTCAGCAACGTCGCTGGCTCCAGCCGACTGACCCCATGACCCTGACATCCGCCTTTACCAGCAGTCGCAGGGTGGCCACCGCCAGTCGTCGGCGAGCGACCTGGAGACGGTGGTGTCGTCCGTGGAAGTGGTGGAGTCCGAGTCTCCTCAGCTGCTCCGCGGCAGCTGCAAGGGCGGCGGAGTGACCGGCGCGCCGACCGGCGCGGACACGCGCTCGCTCGGCGGGGAGACCAGCGGCATCGGCAGCAGCCGCCCGTCCTCGCCCGACCGCCACACGAGCGACGAGTCCGACACGTGCTGCAGTAGCAACGCCACCAGCGTGGCCAACGTGGACGCGCTGCTTCCGCCGCCGCCATCATCGCGACGGCGCGAGGGCCCAAGGGACGGCTCGGGGGAAGAGGAGGAGGAAGAGGAAGAGGAGGGCGCGGCATCGCGCTCGCGCTCGCACCAGGACCTGGACGGGTCGGGCGAGGGCGGGCGCCCCTTCCTGGCGCCGGGCGCCGCGTGCCCGCGCGCCCACACGTGGTCGTGCTCCGACGGCGAGGAGCCGTGCCTCCTGCCGGCCCCGCACAGCGCCCACGCCGAGCCCTACTCGCAGGTCTCCTACCGCGACCGCCGTCAGCAGCAGGGCTGTCCCGGCTGCTCGTGGCGGGAGGAGCGCGGCGAGGGCGTGGGCGGCGACGGGGGGGTCGCGTCGCGTTCGCTCGACGCCGCGGGAGACGACGACGGCGGTAACGACGCCGACGATGACGGCGGCAATGACGGCGGCTTCACGGACGCCTCGGTGTTGCTGCGCTCATTCGTTGGGAAGCCCCCCGGTCCGTGCGTCACGGACGGGGAGTGCCGCTGCTGCGGGAGGTCCAAGCTGGGAGGCAAGAGCGGTGGCGGCGGTAGTGGGCAAGAGCAGGACGAGGCGAGCGTGGGGGGCGCGGACGAGAGGGTGCAGGCGTACTTCCCCCAACTCGTCACGGAGGCCGGGTACATGCCCCAGTGAGACGGCGGCAGGGCTGGCGCGCGACGAGCGTGCGCTACGCTCGCCACCACGCTGCTCGGGAAAAACACTTATTTAATCGTTCATGTGGGCAACGAACTTTAAAAAAAACAAGATCGAAATGCGGTGGACCCACATTTTCCATTACTCGGAGACCGTAGCAGAAGTACCAAGAGCCTAAATGTTCAGTAAGCTGCTTTTTCACTGGCTGTAAAGGTCATCTTTACAGAGAAAATGGAACCGAAACAGGAACAGGTTTTCCATTCAATCAGTAGGTATGATCGAGAGCTGGCAAAAAAAGATTGCCACTTGGCAAATGTTCGAATGCTTTGTGCTGAATTAGCCAAGCACTCAGGCAACATGTTGTTCTCATCAAAAATATCCAGTTACGGACGTAACATTTCACAAGGCGACGCAACTGCCTCGTCATTTGCACAGATCCTGTACGGCAACGCTTGTACGCGCCTTAGACTCTCACAATCCTGGATCCTTTTTTTTTCTGACAAAATGTTTAAATTCACCATTCATTCAAGAAAATGCTGCTGCTCTCACGATAATGTAGCAGACAACGCCAAAGTGGCGACGACATGCGTGCGTCTCCAGCCTCTTCGCTCCAGAGGTCTCTAGTCCGACGTTCCCACTCATGAACCCAGGACCAACACTCGTCAGTCCTAAAATGTCAAGTCCTATGATCTCCGGCTCAAGATGTTCAGTCCAAACATCAATCACCCCTCGATGTAAAGGCTCCTATCGTTTCGTCGAAGTTTGGTATTCGCGCCATTCTTATAGCGCGAGGCTATCACGAAGGAAGACGCTACGTTTCACATAGTCAGCAGTGGATTCCCAGTGGGGGGCAAAATTGATATCTGTAATCGCTGATATCAACGTTGATATCTACGTTGATATCTATAATCTTAATGGAGTAATGGTGGTCAATCTTTTGATTTTGAGCAAATGTGAACCACAACACCGGCATGCAATGGCCTACTCATTCCGAATGATGTAAGGGGATCTTTAATACCTACTGTGAAGCAGAGGGCAACGTTTTTGTTATGGCTAATACACCCGCAGCAAAAACCAGGGCTGCCTGCCAGATTGGAATCGGGAAGCTCTGCACCAGGTGGCGAGCGCACCACCGCCGGGCTGCGTCATCGCCCCGAGAGTCTGTGCCGCGTGTCCCACAGAGACGAGGTCGGTATCAGCCGGCTTCCGACTCGGCCAAAGCAATGCAATTACGCACACCGCAGCCTCTCCATGGGCCGGTAACGATTGCCAACTGAAGCAAAACTCACCCACTCTAGAGGCGAGGACAGGGCCTGGCGCTCGGGGGCACCGGGGTGGGCGCTGTACCACCCACGGTGGTCCCCCAAACGACACCTCTACTGCCACCCCCCCCCCCCGTCCGAGAGGATCTGGGGCCGGGCCAGAGTAACGGACGTGCCGAGCCATTCACGATCAGACGCACGCTTCAGCGGGGTGCTCTGCAGGTGATTGTGAGAGCAGCCGACGTGTGGAGAAACGCGTGGAGACGTCCAGAGAGCTGTGGGTTGTTCAATACAAACTCCGGTGTACGTCGCTCCCGGGCATACACCAGACATTTTACACTGTATTTCAATTAGTAGAATTGGTTTCTCTCAAATTCCGTCCGCCTGCTTTGAGGTTGGCGTTGGTGGGTCTCCGCTGGATGGCGGCGCTGCATACGGAGAACCCCCCCCCGTGTTGAGGTCCTGCACCATTCTGGCGCCACTGAAGCACTTGCGTTATGTTTGCGATGAACGGCACTCAGAGTCAATCGCTGGCCGTGTGGCCATTCGCCTCCGCGGTCATTTGAGGAGCTGTCCAAAATTCGGAATTGTGCTGCCATTCAAGAATTTGTTCTTCTTTCTTCCGTCTCGTTATGTACTTCCTGTCTCGTGTTCAGGGGTGTCCTGTCCTGTGTGCTCCACCTCATTTGCACCATCCCATTTTGTTCTCTCATTTCCATTGCCTTCTCTCGTAAGTACTGTCTTGGCTTGTGCTGTCTTTATTTTACTGTGTAATTACGTAATGCTGTTGTGATCATTTTGTGTTTATTGTCTATTTTGCTCGTTCTGTCTCGTTCGTATGGTCTAATATGTTATCTGCCTCATCTGTTCCGTTAGCCTGAATGTAGCATGGATGTATAATTCTTGCATTGAAGCACGATTTAACGGAGGTATCATGAGCCTTAGAGGTCATTTGAATTTGACGATTCGACGCATCGCTACGTGCCTCGAACCCACATCCCCGCAGAGTGCAACCCACCCAACCGCGACAACAGCCGAACAAACGACAAAATAACAGCGACCAACCTGAAGAAAATCAAGCGCTATACAAGCAACGGCAACAATGAACGCAACAACAAACACAACAACAACAAGCACATATTCAGTGACGATCAGCCGACACGGCAAGAATTACGGGTGTTGTGAACATTCGTGTGAGTCACATTTGGATCATTGCTCCCGCACTGTTTCAGAGGCTGCTAAACCCATAATTCGAAAGGGAATAAGCTAACGACTGCTTTCACAGAGGCTGCTGTGTGGGGGACAGCAGGGAACGTCCGAGGAGGAGATGGAGCTGGCCACGAGGAGGAGGCCTCCAGGGCCACAGCTGCGGCCGTAGAGGGAGGCCATGGGGGACCCCACATTGGTTTTGTCGTCAGTGACACTGTTGTCGTAAGAGGTTATATTTCTTTGGCATGTGTCGCACTCTTTATTTTTGTAAAGAAACACAAAAATACGGGATGCAGTCATTTCCGTGGATGCACAATTTATCGTTTTGCCAAATGTGGCAATTTAAACATCGCTCTGCAACCTCTACCGGCGAGCTGACGCTCTAACGGTGTCGGCGCGTTCGACGCTCGTGCCGACCGCGTGCCGGTGACATTTGGCCGAGGAGGGAGGAGGGCTTCGCCGCAAGAACACGGCCCGGATCGTGCGCGTTGCCACCGCCTCGATGTCAATTATGAATCGGAATATTGGCATGGAAAAACATACGCGTTCCGATAGTTTTCACCGTACAACTTTAGCCATGCAGTTTCCAAAGCCGTGGGAACGCGTTTTTTTTTCGAATTGGTGGCTATAAACCAGTCACTGGATACTCGCTTTAAAAGTGGGCGAATCAGTGAGAGGCCCGTACTGAAGGCTCATGTCGAGTTGAGTCAATCTGAATGAAGTCATCACCAGAAACAAAGTTTTAGGAACGGTATCAGTTTTATGATCAGTAGGAGACTACAAGCAGTTCTGAGGTCAGGATTAAAAGCAGCAGCTGAGAGATCAGGAGCTGTGAACTTCCTGTCAGACGCGGAACTTGGAAACTTAAATCCTCATTAGTGATGCCCACCCTTCCTCAAACTTTGTAATCTTGATTCATCGCCGGCGCATCTCGGTCACAGCACACGCGTAACTTTGGAAAATGTAGCCTTCACCGTAACAATTCTCACACAGCAAAGGTTGGAGAACGCAGCTACGAGAGCCATTGGGTGGCCACGTCTCCCCCAAAGTCTGCACAGCTGATTGACTGGCTTCTTGATGCGAATAATACGAGGTCATAGGTTACCTCCAATGCCTCTGTGTAGCCAAGTGCAATGGAGTGGACGCATGCGTGAATGTATCACATGCAGGTGCCGCACAAACAGCGGGTTAGAGTTCAGGGGCATGGCAGCAGTGCTGGTTGTGTATCACGGCGTGTTGCTGGATACGCATTGCCTGCTCCAGCTGAGTTTTGCTCCTGAGGATTGTGGAGGCCGTTAACGACTCGTGCCAGGCTTCTTGTATCCAGATGATGATGGGTCAAGCAACTAATCGTGATGGCTTGATGTGGCAAACACTTGCAGAGTTGTGTATTACAGGACACTGATGCCTGGGGTCTGAGTAATAAAGGACAGCATTATTGTAGCTAGCTACTACTACTACCCATGATTTGTATTAGCACAACGAGCTCTCGTGCGACTACAGAAAAAGAATGAATACATTTGTATTATTTTCAAATGGTTATTACGCTAAAATATCAGATTTTGGACGTTTCCAACAAAGGCAACCAATTTGTTAGATTCTGGTATGCCTTGTTATGTTCTGCCAAAAGCCCTTGGGAGTTGTTTAAATCATTATTTACGTAATGGCCAAACGGTTCTGTTGGATTTTTACCCTGTTCTGATTATGACCCATCGCCAAATGCATATAAGTGCTGGATCGAGTTAAATTCAATCCTTACACAGCACGGTCAATTAAATATTTAATGAAATATTACATTTTAATATTTCATCTGTCACTACAAAGTTATTGGATTCGAAGATTGAGATGTTTTAATGGCAGAGCTGAAATGTATTGTTCAAAATAATAAATATTGAATTAAAATTTAGGTTTTAATGATTTAATTCACTCTTAACTTTAAACTTTATTTCTAGTTTTAAATTCAATTACGTTTTCATATTCACTATCCTCTCACAGAGTTCAGATTTATATATTTTTTCAATTTCAGTTGTACTTAAAATGCAGGATTTTTATATGTCAGTTTCATATCCACAACTTTAAAGATGTTAATATAGCCATCGTACTGTATGTGTTTTTCAGTTTCAGATTTCCGCACTTTACAACGGCACGTTGCGCGTACAGTACGCCACGTGTACAGTGTGTACAGTACACGCACGGCACGTGTTGCGTGTACAGTACGCCACTGTACAGTCTGTGCTTGCGTGTACAGTGTGTGTACAGTACTGTTGCGCGTACAGTACGCGTGCAGTTAGTGTTGCGCGTACAGTATGCCCACACCGTATTTACTGCTGTGATCCACTCACTTAGTCTTGAGATTCTTTCTTGTTAATTGCGTTTTCTGACAGATATGACCAGGATATATATATAAATAAAAGTTATGGTCGTTAAATTTGTATTATTATAAAATGAGGACAGTGTTCATATTTGTGGTCGTGGATATGGTCCTGATACACATAGGCCGACTCTTATAGAGGTTATCACAGGAGCTGTTAATTACTTTACAAAGTTACGTGCCGGGGTCGTTTCCTGCCTGCAGTGAAAAGTGTAGCCGCAGGGACGCGGCCTTCAAAGACGTTCATCCTGTGTGGTCATTCGTCTGCCACCGGGGCAGAAACTCGTGCAGCTTAATTCTGAGAATTGTTCATAATATAGGGGGGGGGGTGTTGGTTTAGATCGCGTAAATATAATTGTAAAGGAGAGCCGACACAAGATTGCTGGGGGTTCGTCTTTCATTCCTTCCTTCAGTCCACACTCGTCCCCAGCCTTCCCAATCTCGTTCCCGCCAAGATCTCCCCTCTTCAAGCTTGTTCTCGCTCTCTTACATCTCCTCACTTGCTCCTTCCCTTCCCCTGTCACCGTCCCACACCCCCTCGTTTTGGTGGGAATCCTTCCCGACATCCCTTACATAATAAATGTGTCGTGAACCCGCCACCACCCGACACAGCCAATTAGTAAGGTTTGTCACGTAAACAGAACGTGCCAATTCTTTACTAGTGTAGTGTCAACGATTCAGAGACAGAGTTTATAGGAGGCACCTTTATTAACAACTTCCACGGTCCCGTCCACACACTCTCCACAGTAGCTCAGCCTAACCTGTACACATCACTAGCCGTCTAACACTGACGGCGCTGACTGAGATAGCCAACTACTCTCTTTCGTAGCACAACATCCAGTGGAGACGTTTAGCGACGCCGGCGACGAGACGAGTCCACTCCCAGCACCGGCAGCCCCGAGCCCCCGCTCTCTGCTCCTTTTATGCTCCCAGCGCGGCCCTGGCCCCGCCCTGACCACGCCTCCCTTCTCGAACCTGCCAGCAGGTTCCAGGCGCCTCCAGGCGGGGTCCTCCGTGACCCTTGCCCCAGTTCCTCCGCTCTGCCCACACGCCGTGCTCACGTCCTCACCGGCGTGTGTGCTGTCTGTCCACCACAGTTGGCGCTGCTGTCCACCAACCGGCGGTATTACACTACACTTGTACAGCACACCGGTGTGTTGTAAATGTTGTGGATTTGCTCTCCAACACACCGTTGTGCTGTATTAGTAATGATTTCGCACGTTCTGTTTACGTGACAAACCTTACTAATTGGCTGTGTCGGGTGGTGGTGGGTTAACGACATTCATATTTACGCGATCCAACCCAAAAAAACCTGTATTATGGATGATATTGGTCGCGAAAGCCTGCGTGTTAATCTGAGAATGTTGTTGACGCGGTCACGAGCAGCTTTGAGTGTGTAAAATGTTACGTGTTATTCGGTGTAATGTGATTGTGTATCCTAAAACATTAATGCACAGTCTGGTATGGGTTTGTGATTTGTGTAGCCAATACATCACCATGCTGATAGACTGTCACTGATTCTGAATGTAAATAAATGCAATATTAATTGGGCAGACTGTACCTCTAAACCTTAGCAACATCCTTTACTTTCTCCCCCTGCTTAAGCCTGACACACAATTAACCTTATTAATAAAATTTAACACTTAAATGCCTAGCCAATTGTAGGCCCCTAAAGCTATTGCCGGCTTTCACCTTCACTCACGTATATCAAACACATACCTCGTTTAAATGAAACAATGTGAATCAAAACTAATATTGAAGCAGATCACAACAATTGGAACTTGGAATGTTTATTGTACATTACACAGTGGGGGACCTGTTAAAGTGCAGCGTCGCGAACACAGACCCCGTCGATGATCACTGCTATTTCACGATGTCACATTGTCTTGGCTTGTATGTTTTGAACTTCTTTCGCACCGTACGTAGCCAACCGTGCTAATCGGAGGTGCGGAGGAAGGACAACAAACTAAACACAAAAAAAAAGTTCTAAAGAAATTATCCATAACAGTTTTTTGGGGGGTTTTACGCGATCTAACCCAAAAAAACTGTATTATGGATGATATTGGTCGCGAAAGCCTACGCCTTAAACTAAATAAATTAGTTTGTCAATCTTGATGCTTCTTTGCAAGTGCCATAGCTCCCAGTGGCTTCCTAATAGCGGAAGAAAGAGCGTTCCAGACGGCAACGCAGAAGCGCATCCGAAAGCGCCACGCGATGCACCACCACCGCCACCACCACGTGTTCCCCTCTGGTGTGTGTCCATCTTCCTCCCATCGTGGTCACGCAGCGCCGAGCTCCCACCCCCCTCGTGTTTAAAGGCCGGGTCCCAGAATTTCCGCTGCAACTTACAAAAAAACCACACAGCAAGCAATGCGACGCCAAGAACGGGGACGTGAAGCCAAGGCTTTTTTTGGGGGGGGTGGGAAGTGGGGGGGATGTTATTTATGATCGCAAATTTAAAATGCTGTGGAATCGGATTGCAGATGTAAATTCTTGCAACGTGCGGACGAGCATCGATTGTGAAGCAACTGGTTACGTGTGAAGCCCGGTTCACAGACAGGCGGCCGACAGCACTCAGCGGTAGATTTCTGAAGATTTGCCAGCTTCAAAGCGATCATATATTTAAACTGATCGCACGTGTAATAGGAAAGGGGTAAACAGGCCGCTATTTCTAAACTTCAGGAGGCGGTGATCAAAGGCATCCCGGGCTGCGTTGACGACGTCTTTATTGGGGATTCTCTCATCGGTCGCTCGTCTCGAGCTGCTGCTGCTTTCGCAGGCGTCCGTCCTTGCGACGAATGATCCACACGCGTTGAACCATCACCAGCAGCACCAAACTAACAACACAGGCTGCGTGAACCAGGCCCTCCTACCCACAGGGTCAGAGCTATTTTCGTCTTTAGGCTGCACATTTCAGTTACAGATTCTATACGTGTTGCCCTAGGATTACTATGGAGCTGATCATATCAGCGGGCAAAATTGTTTCATAGCCCTAGGCTGAGTAACATGAACAATGCCATCTTATTCCCATCCAGCCCCCTTACGGAGGCAGCTGGGGTCCACGAACTTTTTGGCCAGGAGCCCTCGACTCTCGGGGTGATCATGTCCCATCCGTTGCCGATGTCTCCGCGAATGTTGTTCCTTGGTGTTACTACCACTTAGCGTCGGTGGGAGCCTGCTCCCCCATGCACTCGTTACCCAGACCTCGCGAGCCCGCGAGCCACCTTCCCTGGAGCCACGGTGGGCGAGTGGCCCTCGTGGCTCACCGGTGTCGGGCCACGACCGCCAATTTCAACCCCGAGGCCAAAAGGCCCCAATCACCTCGCCATCTACTGCCACGGTGTGGACAGTGTCAGCCTTGCAATCTTATTTCCCCACGCGTGTACATAGAGTATGAGGTATTTAGAGTGTTCATTCCAACTTACGGGCGGTATATTATGATGAAGTCGTTATCTATACGCTATATACCGTGCTATATATCCAGTGATTAGCAACGCGTTTCTTGGAAGATTTTAGGGGTTTTTTTAACCGAAAGACCTTTAAGATCACAGTATTTTCCGTTGCCAATTGTGCAATCGGTTCGGCACTCTTAGCACGCATCAGCGAGCCACGGTTGGTGACGCGATCGACGCCGCGAGTTACCGATGAGTACCCCTGGCGCGCACTTAACACGACGTCAAATCATCAATCAAATACTTTACCAATTCCACATTCTACTTCGTTGGCAATATGCAATTTTATTCCGGAGTAAAATTTTTTTTAATCGTTTAGGTCATTTACAATACAGAATGTGCACGCGAATGTGCCAGACTAATTTCAAACAAAACGTTGGGTCGCTCCCTATGTACTTGGCGTTGGATCATCCCAACGACATCCAATTTTGAGTTGTTGGTGAAGTTGGTAAAGCTGTGGCTCGCCGATGAGGCCCTTGAGCGTGAAACGGTCGCGTTACATGCGCCAGTCGCCCAGGCCAAGACCTGGCACAACAAAAGCATCGCCAGAGGAACCTGTTTGTGAAAAAGCAACGGTGTTATACTTCTCACAAAATGTGAGCTTTTACGTTTCAAATGTCAAGGATTTATTATTATATGGTTAATAATGACGTAAATAAGTAAATAAAACTTTCAAACCTATTATTAGGTCATAGTTTTCATGAAAAAAATCACTAGTCCACATGTTTAAAATGCAGTTTCAAACGTGTTATTGTACAGTTTACAGTATTTTGTTTGATAGTTGAGCCACCATCAACATCTTTGCGATTATCCATCCGTACGGATCGTGAAACAGATGAGGCAATGTCAACACAAGTGGATTGTCAAGTCTAGCGCTAGATATCACGGGGATCTCACTCTAATTTTCGTTACCAATCCTGTCTGTATAGTACGCTATATAAACACACGTACAAACATGTAAGCACATAGAGAACGTTATATATATGCATGTGTGTATGTGGTATACACGCAGAGGTGAGGGCATGCGTTTTGAGAACTTCTGAGGTGAGAAAGGTTCTGCACCTCTGAGGACAAAGTCACCCTTGCTCTTTACCCAGTGCTGTGGTGATGCACGGAGACACCGTATAGCAGCATTCATAAATAGCAGGGCCCCTTGTGGGAGAAGGGTCCTAGAGACCTCCTTGGAATGTGAACTCGTGCAGGCTCGGTGATCATCAGCCCGACAGCCGCCACATGGCACCTCGCGTGTCTGCCACTCGGCAAGTGACTACCAGCGATTGAGGTTGGCAAACTTGTTACAGCAGTGGCATAGAGCGTCGGAGATTAGTATAGCCGATGAAAACAACGTTTATGGAAACGTGCGTTTGATGAACAATGGTTGGTCCAAACAGGCACATAACCTCGGGAAATCACGTGGCCTCTGTCGGTGATCAACATTGGAAGTTACCAACCCAATTGCCCACAATCAGGAGCAGCAATGGAGGTTGCATCTATTTTGGCAGCTACTATGGCTCGTAACAATTCCCCTAAAATTGCTTGAGTTTCTCGTGACCTTCGCAGGATTCTAGAAATGGTGTGTGTACCCTAAAGTGTATAGCGCATTGGAAACTGTGGGGTCACTG